TAAATATGATTTAAGTGCCATGCGGTATTTTAAACAATATTACACAGGCATATTTTGTAATTGAACCCAAGCAGTTTTCATAAATTATGAATTTTTTAATAATCCATTATATATATAATTACAGTCCTTCGAAGTCTTTTAATCTATTAACGAATCCGTAGATTTCGATTTACACGCTAAATATTGTGCATCATTTTTGAAACTTTACACGTAGCTTATATATAATATTTAATGTCAAGAATCGATATTAGAAATTATAAGTAAAAATGAAAAATATAAAAAGTTTATACAACGGGAACTCTTTACTAATTGAATTGCTAATCCTTCCTTTTATGTCAGGTAGTCCTTAAAAGCAGATAATACAATTTGTTTTTGTTTTTCTTTCTCTCAAGACATCTTCAGAACATTATTTAGAAATCTTAGTGATTGATATTTAAGAGAAATCCCTGAATTCTTAGGGTGGTCGGATGGTTCTTTTGACACTAGAGACTGAATTAAATTAATATATATTAACATTGCTCGTGCTTTTGTGTGGATGTGTCTGTGTGAAAAAGCTTATCGTATAAAGATAAAAAATTAAATAAGCGACGAACTTTTGTATCGAGTTTTACTCGCAAACGTCAAAGTCCAGATACAAATAGGGAAAAATATCAATATATGATATAAAAGTACAGTGTAGTTGTATTTGATATTATTGATGCTCTATCGTATTATTATTGTATTGAATGGATTGCATCAAAATGAGAAAAAGAGGAGTGAGAGAGAGAGAGAATAAGATTATAAAGATTGGGATGCATTATGTTGATTCTTTCATGAGTGTGACACAGTTATTTGACAAAATGAGAAAAACTTAATGTGCGCTTGAACTTTTCCCACTTGGAAATAGAGTCTGAGAGCAGATGATCGAATGTTTTGTATACAACAAAAGACAAGAGAGAACGTTAGTTTGTACAGTTTAAAAAAATAAAAACGTGACTTAGCTTGATGATCATAGGTAAAAACTGTAGCTTAAGGCAGAAAGTTTTATTGATCATTGGATTGTCATTTTATGAAAATAAAAAGTATCATTAAATTCGGTCCCTTCCAAATCGTTCACTATAATGATTAATAAAAATTACTTTTTTAACAGGACCCGGGAATCCAGTGGTTAAATAATATTCGTCGTCATTCTTTAAATTTCATAAAAGAAATGGAATATTATTATGTTATTGTTTCAACTTTATAATTTCATAATGCTAGTAAATTTTAAAAAAATGTATGAACTGGATTCTCCGTAATAAGCAACATAAAAACATTAAAAGTACTGAATCGGCCGAGAGTTCAGTTGAGTATTAGTAGTGTGACGCTTGCCTTGAGAATTTAACCACAATTTTTATAGATGAAAGTTAAGATTTTCAGTGTCGTGAAAAATGTGGTATAATAGCTCAATAGAGAATAATCTTTGTTGAAAAAGAAAGAAAATGATGCCTTGCAAAGCAGCGATTTGGAAGTGATCGTGAGTAATTTGTAAATACAGTCAATGAATGATTTTTAAAGTGTAAGTTTGATGCTGATGAGATTACGAGATCTCTATAGATCTATCGTGGATGAATACGTAAAATGGTGAGAGAAAAAAAAAACTATAATAAAAGATGCGTGCTGTAATATTGAGAATGTTACAATTTATTTGTTTGTTTTTATTATCTAAATAAGAAAATAAAATAGCTCGTTGAAGACTGCTCTTGAAAAGTCGGAGATCTTGCCATTGTATAAAAATGAAAAAATGGAATATCGAATCGAATGTAAGAAAAGTAGTTGATGAAAAGTTTCTATACACACGCACGCAGCTGAAAGATCATCATAGATTGCGCAACAGGAAAATGTCTGACTCTGTGGCGTTATTTCTTATTAATTGAGAGATTTAATCATGACGAGACGAAAAATCCCACGTGAAAAATTAATAAGTGAAGCGACATTGATTTAAGTGTCACGAATGAATCGTTTCTTCGATTTGTAGTATTTTGTAGACCTGTAATATAATAAAACCTGTACGACGCACGAAAGAGAACAAAAATTGTACATAATAAAAGAATGTCAAGGGGAGGGGATCGGTTTAACTAAGGAAATGCGCTTAATTAGAAAAAAAATAACAAACAAACAAGAGAAAATCAGGAATCGAGCTCTTCTCTCTCACAATCTCAACGACCTATTCACTGTTTTGATGAATTTGCGAATCAAGAAGTAAAAAGAAATTTGGAAAAATCTAAAGCCACCTTGATGCTGCTAATAATGTTCGTTTTGTTGTTGCACACGAGTCCGAGTCTCCCTTCATGGAAAATTGCGAGAAAAGCGAAAAATAGGATACGCGCGCGCACGAACACAAAAACACGCATTACTACTAACGAGCAGATATTTAATGGTGGCATAAGAAAAGCAAGATAAATAATAATAAACATCGTTACGTGTTTTTTCACTTTGTAATTCGTCGTTCTTCGGAGGCATTTTTGTACAATTCTGTATTGTTGTAAGATTGGCCATTGTTTCTCTTAGTTTATTTATCTCTTTATTAAAGGTAAGCAAAAGTTCCGTTGCGTCTTAATAAGTGCGGCTTAATTTATTAATAGCGTGTATGATGATTATGTCATGCATAATATAATCTTTCATTTTCCTCGTTGAGATCATTAACATTATTATATACCAAACTTGCAATGAACAATCGAAGCTGGAATATTCCGCTATTTATGTTCAGTCAAAGGATCAAGTCTGTGTGCAGAGTGACCTGAATGAAGATAAACGAATTACAATTTAAGGTGATTGATACATAAAAAGAGAAAGATTGTATATTTATTGCCGAAAGGTGTGTGTCCAACTTCAAGCTGCGAATCTTTTGAAGTGGAATGTTCTTAATTTTTAGTATATTATATACTTTTGATGTTCTGGAATAAATGAAAAAAATAAAGTTATATATGCAATTGATGCCGAGTCTTTCATTTCATTTCATTTTGGAAATGTTTCATGCGAACGACACTCATCGTTTAATTTGTTACTTTTATTCTTTTAATTTGTCAAGAGAAAAATTAGTTTTTTATTTATTTGTTGTTGTTGTTTTTTTCTTTTTTTTTTGATCTTGGACACATTCTTTTCAGTTATTTTATTGATAAAATGGCATTGAACATTTCAATTGATTTCAAAGATAAAGTTTGTAAATTGTAAGCACCAATGATATACGTATTTTGTTTTATCGATGTGACAAAGTAGTTGTACAAATTTATTTTACATACTTTTATTGATATCGTAGTGTGTCAATAATATTCTGTTACCAAGATTTTTGTTTTATTTTGTTTACTTTTCTTTTTATTTAATTGATTGGTTAACGAGTAGATTTTATCCTTCAATCTGATAAATAGGTAATTAGGCGTTTATAATTACCTTTATAATTACATAAAAGTTCTTGCCGTTCAATATTCGTAAAAGCTATAATGAATATAATTTCATATTATTAAAAAGTTAAATTTAATTATTTTCAAAATGCCCAATGGTACGTTCTTTTTAAAATATTGGTAAGACTGTAAGAGTTTCATGTGTTTGGATGATCGTCGTTGAGATTGAGGACTATGACTCTGGACGAAGACTGCAAGTTGTTGGAAAAGCGTTTTCAACTAAACTGGACGTTCGAGTTGGTGATTGGAGGGGGAGTGAACATTATTATTATTATTATATTATAGGTGAGATAAAGCTTTGAATATAGAATGTGACTTGATTTATAATAGATTTAATTGACGCTTAGTGCGCTAGAAGTTTGTAAATAATTAATGTTAGATAAATTAATTAGAACTAGAGGTATAATTTACAACAATTTACAATGTAAAATGAATATGAAAAAAATTTTTTTTTTTTTTTTAAATTATTTTCCAATTCTTTTACCTTATTAATAATAATATTTTGGAAACTTCTGGCACATTTAATGTCTTGATATAATGAATGGCGTGAGCGTACAAATGTTGATTAACCGCCGTTAATGAACATCTTGCTGCTTTACGAATAATTTCAAACTCAAAAATTCAATTTTTATAAAAATTTATTTAAGTGTTTTTTTTTTTTTTTTTTTATTTTTATTTTGATACGTTTGCATGAAATGAAATATATGAAAAAACAAACAACGATTATGCTCTAATTATGCAACGTATTTTACAGATACTTAAGGAAATTCAATATCAACCTCCTTGAATCAACACGGTTCTTCAAAAACATCCCGAATCATGATCTGACGCTAGAAGTCAGTTACTTGTGTTTGTGTATGAAAAGTTATTAAGTTTCAATAAAACTCAGTTCATATGAAAAAATTCACAAATTTATTTCTTAATGTTAAGTCTTGAAATATGAAATTAATCAAGGCTGTGTCAACCAACGTCCAAAACTTATGTTTGGAATACATTTTAAAGTGAAAAAAGAGCGTATCTTAACAGCTTACATTCTTCAGAAGAAAGTTTTATTCTGCTTATAATGATTTAATCTTTATGTCTAGCACTTATATAAATCACTTTATTCATTGTAACTTCTTTTCACACTTATGAAAACAGCAGCGTATTTTTTACATTTGCTTCCTTATAGAAATCCTTCATAAAATATAAATTATTCATTTATATTTACAAAGTTATTAATAATAAATTCATAATATCTGCATAAAAGAAATTTGTATATATATATATATAACTTTTTGAACTTGGAGAATTTTAAAAATTATTATCCTAGAAACGTAAATTTCCAAAGGATAATTATCGATTTTACACTTGTCGTTCTAAATTATTCCAATTAAATTTTGTCGTAAGGAAGCGATTAATCAGTTTTCGTTGATAGTTTTTATTCTAACCATCAAGATTTTCTATGGTATATATATATATATATTTTTTTTTTAGTACAAGTTTTGAATTCGCAGTTTATTATCTAAATTACGATGGTTATGGGCAAGCTAATATACAATAACATTTTCGTATATAATGGTCTACAAATGCATTGGAAGATCAAAAAAATTTAAAATGACTGCAATCACTGGAGAAAGGATAGCTGAATGTTTCAAATTTTGTTCTCATATCTACATCTGCAAATTGAATTTGAATTTTTATAAAAATCTTATCATTATAAAATATAAGCAGTTTGAATATTTTTTTTATTTTTTTTTTTTTAATTTTACCTTGAAAACCGCACTCAGCTTCATCTAAATTACCATTATCATATCGAATCCGTTTTTTAGGATCAGATAAAACACCATAGGCTTCTCCAACTTCTTGGAACTTTTTTTCCTGTCTTTTCTTTTCACCTTCCGTAGCATTCGCATGTCGATCTGTTGTAATATTTAACAAGTCTTATTAAATAAGGTGTTCGCTTTTAGCTGTTTGTTCTATTGATTAAATCAATTTCTAATTTATTTCAATGTAAATAATAAATTTCATATTTACAGAATAACTGTATAATTTAGTCGGTTCACTAATCAATATATACATATATCGTTATAAATTATAATCGAGCGAAGCTCATTATAGCGGAAGTATTTTATATATTCAACCCGCTCTGAATCAGAATCTGTACTTGTTTACTGTAATTGCTCTTATACATTGTCTTTTTTATTAATTTATTTTTATTTTTATATAAAAGTGTCTTAAATTTTGTAATGGAATAATGGTCAATATTTTGACAGGCAGATTAACGGAGCATTTACTTCGATTAATCTATACATATTTTATTTTCTCACCTGGATGATACTCCATTGCTCGCTTTCTGTAGGCTTTTCTGATATCATCGGTCGAAGCATTTTTATCAATGCCAAGAATTTTGTAATAGTCTTTTTTTTTTGATTTTTTCAATGCCATTTTTGCCTCAAGTAATAATCGTTTATTATCTAAAAGTATCGTGTTAAAGATTTATTTATATATCAATCATCAAAAAGTCAATAAAATTTTGCAAAAGTATTCTATTCACCCCGATTTTTGTCTATTTTACACGCTATTTCATAATCGTAGACTGCTTCCTTATAATTTTCAAGTTCCATGTAGCAGGCTGCCCTTCTTAGAATAGCTTTAAGATAATTGCTATCTAATTTTAATGCTTCGTTACATTCGTCGATAGATTCTGTTAATTTTTTTAGCTAGTGTAAAATAAATTTAAATCAATTGAGTATTGAAAAATTCTGCTAGGCATGGTAATATCTAATTGTAGCTACAGTTCTATGTACGTAGTATGCATATAAATATATATTGATATATAGAATTCACCTTTGCTGCTACCGTTGCCTTATTAAAGTGCAACTTGGCATTTGTGATATTGTTTTGAGGGTCGATGAGTAGTGCTTCGGTATAAAGTCTGTACGCTTCTTGATACTGCTCCGATTTAAAAGCATTGTTTCCTTCTAGTTTCTTTTGTTTTAATAATTTTGCTTTCTAAATAAATATAACAAATATTAACTTATCGTTGCATACAACATCATTCATACAACAAAATCTATAAAACTTTCTTTTGTAATCGTATGTTAATTATTACAAAAAGTTTATTATAAATTGCCGTACCGTCTGTTTTGTTTTGAGTTAGCTCGATAGTCAACAAATTGATTTAAATAAATGTAGTAAATAAAGTTGTAAGCGAAAAATTGTTTTATATATATTGTTATTTTATGTTAAAATTTGTTTGAGGTTAACAGAAATATAATTTTGAGAAATATAGTTTTATTTAGCTTCGTTCATTTTAAATATAAATTTTATTTTAAAGTTAGATGTATTAAAAGTAATTGCAAGCTTTTCACAACTTTTTTTTCACAAATGATACTTACATTCCTAAATGGGACGATATTCTTTCACGATATTGATTTTTCTTTCATCTTTCATTTGCGTAACTTTAAAATTTTTGTTTACATAGATAAAATCGTTAATTGGGACTAAAAATAATGCGAGTCCAGAGGGGCAAGCTAGATTTTAGTAATCATATCGTGTCATTAATTGTTAAAATAATGTACCTTATATTTATTCAAGGCTTTTGCATGGTCAGGAGCATAACGTAAAATTTGTTGAAAATGTTTAAATGCATGGTCAATGTTATCTTGGTAGTACAAACAAATTGCCCTCACATATATAGCGTCTACGTTTTGTTTGTCAATGTTTAGAACATCGCTGTAAAAAGGAAAAAAAAAGAAATGTAAACGTATTCAATGTTTCCGACTGATGATTTTCTCACATATTAAATTTTTTTTAAATATTAACTTTGTGGTAATTTCCGCTTCGGAGTATCTTTCCAAGTATACTAAACATTCGGCCTTCGTTATTTTAAATCTGGCACAAAATGGACTAACTTCGTAACAACGATCCATACAATAAACAACCTAATAAAATAAAATGTTTTCTTTTAATAGTAATGCGAAATCTCTTACCTCGATAATACTTATTTATAATAATTGGCTGTACTTTGCGATAATCTTCAATTTTATATGCGTCTTCCGCTTCCTTAACATATCTTTTCAAATGCGCAAGCTCATTTAATTCTGTAACAATCGACTGTTTTGAAGGTTCTAATTGTTCTAACTTACTTATTGCAGTCTCAGCTTCTGTAATATCTCCTATCACTATACATGATTTTATAAGTCGTGTATACGCCTGTGAACGCGAAACAGAATTTTATTATAAAATTCGATATACATATTTGTCTAATTTACAATTTTAATTAAATACCTTAATTAACGTAGGATCTAATTCGATGCATTTTTTTGCATCTTTATAAGCGTCTCTAAATTGGGATAACATGATAAAACAAGCGCACCGGTTATTATAATATCTGGCAATATTAGGGCATAATTCTGTAATTGACACATAGAAACACACGACGTTAAATAGTTTTATTCATCGCTAGGCTTTATTCTATTACTTACCAATAGCTTGATTGTATCCTACTAAAGCTTGCTTATATTGTTTCGCTGTATAATGTTGATTGGCTTCTTCCTTTTTCAATTCAGCCAAACTAAAAGCATAATATTTCTTAAAAATTTGTCATTTTACTATTTTAATATTTCTTTAATAATGTATTGCTAATATCTTATACATGTGCACGATATTAACTCTATACGTACAACAAATTTTACAAATCCCCAAGCTATTCGCTTATGATAAATGACACGAATCGCTCATCATTGCCATTATTTGTAACAAATCCATTAATACGGTAATTTTAACAATAAAAAAGGTTAAAAGCTTTTAAAAAAAAAAAACATGGCTCAATGCAGTTGTACAAGTGGAAGGTAAACATTTTAAAACAATTCGCTCTCAGCAGCGGACAACAAACAATAAAGAAAATAATGCCCCTGAGGCACGAACTCTTAAATAAAATAGGTAGGAAGAACCTATTCCAATGGACAAAGATCCGCTGAAAAATTTGCAGAATAAACATATTGCTGACGTTTCGGTTATCCTATAAACAACTCTCCAGCAATTATGCATTCACTCAATCATAATGGAAACATTTGGGACATAAACTGTAATGTTTTCATATAAATCATAAGGGTGCATTGACCCGTACACAGTGTTGATAATAATGTATCATCTTCCCTACAAGGGTAGGGTGTATCCCACGAGGGTGAATCGTCATCATAGCTAACTCACGTTTTTAGATCGGGGGCACTCGGCTCGATAATAGGGTCGCTTATAGGTTCCGCGTCTACATTGATCACTTCGTCTGCCATATTCATCTTGTTGTTCGTCCGGCGACCTCTCGCAATGTAGCCTAATAATTGTTAGTCAGAGTAAGCTGCCCTCGAGAGCAGGTCAATCGAGTTCTCAGCGATGATTTTCAAACCCCCTGCGCGTGTCTTTCCTTTCACACCGTAATTAGAAAAGCTACCTCACTTAGCCTCTACAGTCCCAGACCAACCGAACCCTCGCGTTAGCGTATCCAGCAACTCGTCGTCCTCCGCTTTGCTACTGGAGTCAAAGAAAAATGTGTCTATCGTGAATATTTCGATTCTGCGCAGAAAATCATCAAGCCAATTGGCTGTACATACGAGCGCGAATTTTAAGTTTCAAGCACAACCAGCCTATACTATTATATACCATGCCTACGCAAACGCACACGCGCTCACCTCTCTATACCCTCTACCTGTCTACATCTATATATATATATATATATATATATATATACATATACGCAAGGTATAAATACATTTATTTATATTTATATATAGGTATGCATGCGTATGCATCCATATGTTCATGCCCGATCTACGCATGTGTGTCTTATCTATATGCGCATATAAACGCGCGTTCGTTTGCGTATAATATTCCTTTTGAAAACAAACGCTTGTTGAATAAAATTAGTATAGGGAAACAATATATCTATGTCTCCTATAAATTTTTATATAAAAAATTATCGATTAATTAAGATTTAATACTGTATACGTTTCGTATTACATGGATTTTACTGTGCCGCTCTCCCTGTGCAAGACAATTAATCTGTGAAATGTTGTTTCCGAGCATTATTAACAATTCAGCGCGAAAAAGGAAAATATTTCTTGTAACTTTAAACCTTCTACTAAACATTTCTTGCTCGGCGAATGAGAAATGACGGTTGGGCCAACGGAGGTACGTACTTATGACGGATAGTGACATAATATTTGACACGATTAAGTAACATCGTGGGAACAATGTAAGCAATGGTAACACTGATTACATTTGTAACAACAACTAGTATTGTCTTTAAATCTATTAAAATATTTTCATTAGTATTATTGTTATTCAGTGGGGAAAAAAAAAAAAAAAAAAAAATGCGACGGTGAACGCCTACGTTATTTATGAAAACTGTTCTAGAGTTTATTTTTATGAATGATTATATAAATATGATGATCTGCATTGTTAAATGGATGCTGAAAAATTGAAAAATATAAATATAATTTTGCAAAAATTATATTAAGTAGTGTATATATACAAAGATACAAAGAAATAATTTGGTAGAAATGGGTTACAGTTTATGCACGTTTCTCGTATTGTTTGTGCGCGCGTGTGCCTGTGTGTATGTGCATGGGTAAACTTTATTCGTTATTTGTTCATATAAAATTTTGAATATCTCTATATTATATTTAATACTAAATTAAATCACTGTTAAAATATTTTGTATTTAGAATTTAATATGTACAGTATATTGTTTATATGAAAGTAACTCTAGATAATTGATTTTAATGAAAGTTAATTAGAAAAAAATTTCGATAATTTTCAGATTATAGTGAAAGATTGAAGTACCTGTAAAAGCGAATAAACTGTATACGAATCAATATGCAAAATTTTTGTAACATATTCCTTTTCTCTCTCTTTCTCTCTCTCTCTCTCTCTCTCTCTCTCTCTAATAGCGCTGCTGTCAATAAAGATTAATTACGCTTTAACAAATAGCACAGAAAAATTAATCTCTAAACAAATTTTACACTAAATATTTTGATAATTTTTCATTGATGGATAATTAAAAAGGTTCAAATAAATTTGAATATTTCAAAATAAAATCAAAAAATAAAATTTCTTTTTAAAAAATAATTTACCATATTTAACAATACCTACGGAGCTCTCAAATTTACAAGAAACAAATACGGTATAATTGGAAATTCGAAAATTTTATCCTTGTCAGACAAAACAGCTCTCCGAGATGGCGGAGATGCATTTCTGTTATGAGAAAATACTGAGGATTCCTAAATCGGAACAAGATATAATGGAGTGTCATCCTATCCGGATTCACAGCTTCGTGAAAGTCTTAAGGAGAGATAATCAGATTGCGAAGGCTGTTGGAAAATTCACAGAAAATGTAATAAGGAAATGCAAATGTATAAACATCGAGAAAACAATGTAATGTCCTCCTTAGTGAACTCATCTAAAGTAAATTGTCATTATTACAACTTTTTATAAGTCAAAATTCAATATGATTATTCATTATTAATAATTTCAATTCTTAATTAAAACATTAGCCAAATACCTACGTCTTATATTGTTATGCTATATTGCAATTTATAAGATTAAAAATGTACGACTTGAAAAGAAAATATCCACCAATAGTTATATAGATATATAGGGGGGGGGGAAGGGAAAAAAAAAAAAAAAAAAAAAAAAAAAACCGAAATAATATTGAATAATCACTTAAAATATAATATAGATGATAGACAGAATATATATACATCTGTATACATAATAGGACATGATAGGATAGATAAAAATAATATAGATATTATACAATATATAGTGCAGACAATGTGCAATGCAATTTTTGTTGTTTCCAAATTCTAATATAAATAAATAAATCGTGTAAATGGTCAAAATATAGAAATCGTTTTTATTATTATCATAAATCATAGCTGTATTGTCTTTTCTTAAAATTAATATCAGTAATATCAAAATTATGATATCAATAGTTTTGCTTTCATATATATATATATATATATATATATATTTTTTTTTTCGATAAAATATTCTAGGTTTTTTTTTTCTAAATACAGCTCACAAGGATATATACTTTTAAAAAATTCTATTATATTCAGTTTTATTAATGTCGCTCGTTAAGTTTCTTTAATTTATCATTAGCCGATTGGTATATTTACACGCTTACGCATATCCCATTATTATTGATTACGTAATTCGATATAAATTTAATGTAAAATAGAAAATACTTTATTTTTATAAGTCTTTAATAAAATACAATAATACATAATAAATATATTATTAAATCAACTTCATAATTGTATGAAATCAATTATTTTGAAGTATGCAACTGTATTATATATCATTTTATTAAAATTAAATATAATTTTTCTCACTATAATAATCCTTGTACTCAGACTTGCGCTTTATCACCTTAGCCAATATGCTTGTTTATCCACTAAAATGGCATGAGATGGGACTGGGGTATGACAAGATTACGAATTTTGTAGCAAAATGTTGTTAGTTTACATACAATGTAACGCACGTATTGACACATACGTGTAGGCACGTGCCGACGCACAATCACCCACAGGCATACGTACAAACATAGGTATATGTGCGTGCGTGCGTGCGTGCGTGCGTGCGTGCGTGTGCGCGTATACATAATCAAAAGCATCGATTGCATACTTATTTCTTATTTTTGCGACTGCCAATCTCGCTTATCATCAATAATACATATTGATAGTGATCCTCACTTGCTCTAATATTTATCAAAACAAATAAGGTTATTTCATCTGGACTTGTCGACTGTTAAGCGCATTTTTATTCGTTTGCATTATGCACGTGGATTTTGAAAATAGTGGCCAAGACGTCGCTCGATTGTCTTTTAACATATAACTTGACTAAGACAATGGTAGAAAATTCTTTTTATTTCTTTTTCAAATACAACTTAAAATTAAAAAGTTAGTTACGCAACTTTTCAAGGATTTAATTATTATTTTTATTATGCGTCACTTAACTTTGTGCAATTATATGTATCGTTACGAAAAATTAGTGGGATGCTACAGTGGCGAAAAATTAAAAAATCCATTATGATGACATTACGTAATGATGCGTATTATATTTTTTTAGTTTTTAGTTTGCTTTTTACTTTACTAACGTTACACCATTTTACAAATCTTAATCATAGTTGAATCTTTAGCTAATGAAAAACTTTATAAAGAATAGTCCAGTTTTATGTACATTTTATATGATTTCTTTGAGACAATCAACATTATATTTAACTTTGAAAAAGTATATTTTTTAATGAATTTATCAATTACTATTATTAAATAAAATTTTTCCAGCAAGTTTTTGTTTTATATATATATATATATATATATATCTTAATTTTTTTTTAATGAAAAGAATGATGTAATTTACTACTTTTTGTGGGTGATTATGTTATATATAAAAGAATATTCAGTTCTTAAAAGAATGTTTAAATTGAAAGAAGAATATTTTTTATCTTTAAAAAAAAAACACACGCATTTTATCCGTAGTTATGGAGGTATTTATAAAAGAATGTTCATCTCTTGAAAGAATGTTAAAAAATATGTAAGGCAATAGTTAAATACACACACACACACACACACACACACACACACGCGCGCGCGCACGCACGCACAATTATATATATAAATGTCAATTATTTTCATAAATTTTATGTTTCATGTTGTTTCGATACCGAGACTCCGAGTTGTGAAGCAGATTAAAATATTGTTCTTCGGGTTATTATTAGACAAACATAGTTGTGTTTTTGTACGTCGATTAATTTATTCAAGCGTATACTTTCGTAATTATTATTTTAGTTTTAATAGAGAATATACATGAATATGTATTTATATAGTTAAATTATCTAATTTCGAATGTATGATTATATTTTCAAAAACTCATCTTGTATTTCAAAACAGTTCATACATAATGATCCGCGTCTATTTTTAATTATTTTAATTATATTGTTCCTATTATCTTATATATATATATATATATATATATATATATATATATACCATACTCAGTTGATTACAGCAATATCTATGATTATTTATTACTCATTTTACATTTTATAATTCAGTGTTGGCACGCTTTCATTTAAGCAAAGTTGATTATTTTAATGCATTTTTACAATTTAATTATATATCACCATGAATTTTTTAAGTAATTAATAATTTTATAAGACTTTAGAATTTGTTTGAAAGTCTAATATATTTATATAATAATAATACATATTGCATTTTGTAAGGCAATGCCATGGTAATAAGCTAATTCGTTATGGAAAAAATTTTTGCGTCCATTACAGTAAAATTGAATTTGAAGAAATTAAAAATTATTGTTTATTTCATTGATATTTAAGTCGCCTTATAATTTGAAGATTGTAAACAATCGTTGGCCCTCGGGTAACAGTGTTCGAGGTTGACGTTGATGGAAATTCGGATAGTATTTTCCATGTGTATATATTGTAGAACTATGTATTTCCATGTGAATAATCCGTCGCAATCGATAT